ATATGAATCTGAATGCATGGGCCGCCACTGTTATTGATGAACCTGTTTTTATGGCATTTGATAACCCATATAGGTAAGCTATTATTTGTTTAGGATATGAATAAGTAATTAATATTCTTCTTATTTAGTCTAACTTTTATTGGCGACTTGGCTTGCACCGAAAAACGCCAAAATCAATTTGCAAAAGCTTGGCCGCTTTTTGCTCAAAGCCAGAAAACAGATTTTCCGTCTTTTGATCCACCATATTTGGAATTCGCTCGGATTCGTGTTGAAAATTCTTCAGGTGTAGATTTTGCTTATAAGCCCATGCAATTCGAAGGAAGCAAATGGCAAGTATTTAAAGTCAATGTTTGCAATACAGAAATCAGAAAAGATAGATTCGCTAACTTAACTTTTGTTCCAGGAAATGGTTAGCCCAAAGTTTAGATGAAAATGGCTATGGAATGGTCGTAAGAGAGAAACCTTTTGCCGAAGGTCTCTTACGTGAAGTAACTCATGCAAGATATTTCAGCACACACACTTTGCCCTATGCTGGTGCAGGTTATCGTTGTGATCTTTGGGTTCCTTTAACCGACGAACCAGATAATTTCGTTACGCTCGGTTCGTTTCTCCATAAAGGAGGAGATTTTGAATATGCTCTTGCCCGGAACAAAGGACTGGTAGGTGTGCATAGAAGTGTTTGTATTTCTGGAGTTCTAGGTAGTTACGTGAGCATAAAGGTTTGGCGAATCGCACCCCAAGATGATGCTATCGATATTGGTGCATTTGTCGCTCACGATAGTAGTAAACCGCAATTGCCTATTTGGCTGTTGAGAAAAGATGTGGCAGAATTAGTTGAATACTCAAATTAAATTCTTATAATAGAATGGAATATTCGCGGATCTAAGGACATTAAATGCGCACTTCTTATACTTTTGTACGTTCATGTATTCTTTTTATAAAAAATCTAGGATATGGCACTTATTTTCTATTTTCTATGACTTTAAAATTCGTCAATTGTAATTTTCTAGATATCAAAGACACTTATTTTGATTTTACACACCAAAAATTATTGAGTATAGCTTACATAGAAGAGCAATATAATTTAGCAATGAGAAATCCCCATGAAAATTCCGGAAAAATGTTAATCTTGTTAACAAAAACTTATCGTTGTTCGTATTGTCCCGTAAACACTTCGCAAAATTCTTAAAAAAATTTTTACTTTGCAATATTATCATTAACACTGCCTTTCCCGATATATGTAATAAGAATTTCTTACAAAAATTCTTGCGGTCCCAAAGATTTGATATCACTAGAAATTTCACACAAAATTCGTGTCGTAAGTTATCCGCTTGATCCATAGAATTATTATATTTTCTTACAAAAATTCACATTTTATATCGTACATAATAATAATTTTTATTAGTTTCTTTTATCTTAAAACATAACCGAACTACTTTTTGTAAAAATTCTTACAAAAATTCACACTTTGTGCTTTAGACACGCGAAATCTACGATCTGTTAATCTAGATAGTTATATCTTAACCAAATTGTATATAAGGATAGCTTTCGAAAGTCTGTGAGACAGGCAATGTGTGGTTTGAAGATAAATCAATAAAAAAATTATTTTAACTCTTATCTAACAAGGCTTCGGCTTAATTTCTTTTGTGTCACAAAGAAATTGATAACTTTATTTCTTTTATGCTTAACAAAATCGAAGGTTTGCCATATAAAGTTGATACATATTCTTTGATTATTTTGACTTATTGGAATTGAATAATATTTAAATCGTAGGTGGATCAATTGAATTAAGTTGATGCCATTATGTCTAATGGAGAGTTAACAACTTTTTACATGTATTATGATTAATACTTTGTTAGCAAAATTGAATAAAATAAAGCTTAGATCGATTTTAATTTTTCAATGAAAAGTTACTTTAGGTCAAAAGGTTAAATTACATCCTTCAACTTCCTAACTCCAAGTCATTAAAATTTTACATGTATCTGGATGGCGTGAACACCGTATCTGTCTTTCCTTTACACATAAAATCATGATTCTCTCGTAGAAACGGCCTTAAAGCAGAATAAGATACACATATCGATATGGTTGAAGCTATCAAATTTGGAGAATAAGCTTAAACAGTCCTATCAATATAATATTTCCTATCAATATAATATTACGTTAGCAGATTTCTATGATAAAGGTATAAATGTTATAGTAAATTATATTTATTTAATAATAAATAATAAACTAAAATAAAATTAATTCATTTTGATATCACTTCATAATCCACAACTTTAAAATAAAATCGTATATCATCAGAGCGCAGCAAGCCTTGTTCATAAAAGATTTTCGACAGTAATTTTTAGTATTAAAATCGGCATGATATAGGATTAAATCGATACCATTTCTAAAGATTAGTCCTTGAGCTGTCCAACACCTCACACTCGACTCGTTTTATATTTGCTTAGAACCCCATTGATAGCTTGAATGTCGTCAGAATCAATTTTATATAAAAAATTATTTAAAGATGAGTAGTCTTTGTTAAATGAATTCCACTCAAATGGATTATAGCTACCAATAATTTTTTCCTCATCTTTACGCGAATGGCAATAAAAGTTGGGCCTTTATTATCACACAGACGATGAAAATCAGTGTTCTTAATCCATCACAGCTCACGGTAGTAATTTCAATTCAATTTATTTATTTTTCTGACTACCATCTTGTTCCTTAACCCAGTTGATGATTTTATTGATCTAGTTCTGCGAAAGAATTGAAGAGTCGATCTTTGTGCGCTTGCAAATTGGATGTGATGTGAAATAGCCTTTTGTTCTTCGCTTTCTGGCACCAAATAATGATGTAATAAATTTTATATAGTGATACTGGCAAATTTCAGCATATGGCACGACCTTAATATAAAAAGAACAACCGAATTGATGTGGAAGAAACGAATCAATGACAATCAATTTCGAGATTTGATCTAAGTTGTTTAAATTCGTTATGTGTTCAATTTTCTAGTGGAATCGTCAAATCACTTTCCCTGTATCTGCTGCAGCTTGAGAGATCCCCCCCCCATTCAAGCATCTTTTCCCAAAAGTCGATTTCAGTTAAATTTAGATCGTCACGTTAGGTAAAAAAATTAGAGTTGATTCGCATAACTTGATAAAATCGCTTGATGAAAAATAGCGGTTAGATTTTGACATGTGATATCCGTGCAAAATTTGTGAAGCTTGATAAAAGATTTATGCTCGAATGCGATTTGATTAACGACGGCAAAATTCTCTTCCTCAAGAATCTTCTCATCAGCTGCAATAAATAAATCTAAAAGTGTCGAAATATCGTGACCTTGTAAAACGATTTTTCCACTATAAATATACATGACTTATTAAAATTTAAATCAGCCAACCAGCTAAACTTTCTTTATTACATTTATTTAATAATGTTTCAAATTAGCGTGAAATTACCTTAAAAATATTAAACTGGTGGTTCGATGTTCGGTTTCTTTAAAAATAAATATCTTATTGGTTCGCGCGTCAGCTAATGTTACCGCAAAATAATGCGACTGCGCCATCAAGATTGCCGAGTAGGCTGAAAAAGTACGTAGAGTGCTTTGATTCTCACCACAATAAATAATAGTTAGAATTTTATAAAATCAAGGCCAGGTGTCATTTTTTATTATTTTTTCTCGGTGAATTCGATAAAATTGGGAGATCGTCCAATTTTGATTATTAACGTTAAAAAAGCGATATCGATATTTAAAAATCTATTAGAAATTCACTTTCACGCTTCACCCGAAGCTCTATTTTAAATCTTTGGAAGCGTTATCGCAAAATCTATTTTTCATTTCATTTGTTTAATTTTAATTTTTCTTTATTGTTTCGAATTCTTGCAAAACGATAGAATGCATGTGAAGGAAATACTGTAAACTTCATAATAATTAAACGATAAAAATATATAATACGGAGCCCCTAAAAAATTTGATAAAAAAATTATTATTATTAATTTTTGGCAATAAATAATTAATCAATACCAGTCATTTTCAGCCCATTGAATATTATCTGTTTGTGATCGCTATTTCATTCGTTGTTTAGGTCCTTTACGTCAGAAAAGGCATTGTCGTTGAATAATATTATTATTTGTTGGGTCCTTTGCGCCAGAAAAGACATCATGATTATTCGATTTAAGAGTTTAAGGCTTTTACCTAGAAAAAGTAGCTGTTAGTGTTAAACTTAGAAAGAAAGTCCTATGGAAGAATTAACCACATTACTCATATCTTTACTCTCCGCATTCACTTTACCAAACAATATTCGTAGATATCGGCACAGCAGCCATCTTTATACAATCGTACTCATGTTTGAATTTTTTGTTACCTATTAATTTTACGATTTGATTGGTTTACTTCTTAAAAAATCATGTATCTGAACTTTTTTGTTAAAATCTTTTATACATGCTATGTGATTTAGAGAGTCAAACGATCAAATTACTGCAACTCAAAATCTAGTGATTAAGAAAATATGCAAATCTTTACAATTTGTATTCTCTTACACTGCTACCTTATATGATTCCAGAGGTGCTACATGGAAACCATAAATTACCGCAACAGTTTTGGGATGGTTATATACGAAATTGTGACGGGTGAAAAACCATTTGGCGAACGAAGTCATGATATACATCTCGTGTAAAGATACCGAATAATATTCCCGGATGGTAATATATCAAACATTTTGTTCTACAAATGTTAGTTTATATGTTCAAAGTCATGGTAGATTCATTATTATCGTATAAATTATACAAAAAAAATTTTTTTTTAAAATTTTAACTAAAAATAGCTTTTATAATAAATTCAGATGTATTGGTTATTATAATAAAGAATAATTAGAATTTAATAAAATTAAGATAGATATAATAATTAAATATTATTTTAAATTATCAGATACTTTTTGTTTAGACTTATTTCAAGTATACTTATAATTTTTATAAAGTAAACTTATAAATAATAAAGTAATAGCAAAAAAATCTTTACTAAATTTCTGATAATAGCTAGTAAGATCTAGAAATAATCAAAATTCTAAAATATTTGTTAATAAAGTTTACATTTACAAAGTTTAGAGAGAATTATATAAAGATAATTAAAATATTCTTCTTTAATATTATTAAATATAAAGATATTAAAATAAATTATGATAAATTTATTTAAATAGTTATAAAATATATTATACATAAGAATTATAAAGATAATGAATATATTGTAAGATTAAATAGTAGAATAAGAAATTTATAATAATTATATCTTGTTCTAAATACAGTTTTATAAATATTATCTTTTTTAATTTAAATTTAATAGTAATTAAAATAGAGATTCAGTTTTAAAAAGTATTATATATCAGTAAGTTAATTTATTAATTTATCTACTCAAGATAAAGAATAATAATTTTTAATTATAATTTTATTTAAGATATAATAATTAATATAAAGATAAAAAGTTTTTTTCTTTTTATATATAAATAAGATAGATATTTTAAATAATGAGAGATTTAAATTAATAAAATCTTTGCTAAATAGATCAAATAGTTATTTCTTTAATTTATTTATTTCAATATAAGATAAGTAATAAGTAGAATGAAAGAATAACTCAAAACTAAATATTAAATTAATAGCATAATTAATAATATATTTTGATAGCAGTTTATTAGAAAGAGAGTTAAAAAATATATTAGTAAATTCTTTAATTAACTAAATAATTTTACAAAAAGTTAATATTTCTTAACATACTTTTTTTATTATAATACAGATTGCAAATAACTTAGCATTGATAAAAGTTCAGTAAATATTAGTGAGATATAAAATAAGTTATAACTTAATATAAGTTTAT